GGGCTTGAACTTGGGCTTGGGCACTGTCCCTCAGGTATTCAGCTCAAGGCTAGTACTCTACCACTTGAGCCACAGCACCACTTCTGGTTTTCTGGTGGTTAATTGGTCATGGCCTTTCCTTCCTGGGCTGGCTTTGAACCTTGATCTTCAGATCTCAGCCTCCTGAGTAGCTAGGATTATATGTGTGAGTCACTGGCACCTGGCTAACTTTTCTTGATCTCTAAAGACAGTAACATCCACCCCTCACAACTGTATCTTTTGATGCTTACTTCTACATCTTCATATATCATGTATGTAGCGCAAGCTATTAAAAAAAATGTAGTTTACCTTCACAGATTTTCCTGAACCTAATGAACAGGATCACTAAACAAATACATACTTATTTTCTCCAAGTTGGTTTATAAGTTTAATAAGATCACTACTTTGTTTTTTGTGGGGGGTCAAGGAGGTCTGGTCCTGGGGCTTGAACTCAAGGTTTCAACACTGCCCCTGAGCAAAGCTAGAGCTCTACCACTTGACCCATAGCTCCACTTTCAGAATTTTGGTGGTTTATTGGAGATAAAAGTCTTATGGAGGGCTGGGAAGGTGGCTCAGTGGTAGAGCGCTTGCCTTGCATGCTCAAGGCCCTGGGTTCAATTCCTCAGCACCACATAAGCAAAAAGAAAAAAGCCGGAAGTGGCACTGTGGCTCAAGTGGTAGAGTGTTAGCCTTGAGCTGAAGAGCTGAGGGACAGCGCCCAGGCCCAGAGTTCAGGCCCCACGACCGGACCCAAAAAAAAAAAAAAAAGTCTTATGGATTTTCCTGCCCTAGCTGGCACTGATATCCTGATTTTCCTCCTAGCTGGCACTCAGATATCAGCTTCCTGAGTAGGTAGGATTACAGGTGTGAGCCACCAGTGCTAGACAAGATTAGTACTTCTTATTGACATTGTTGTGACTAAGTAAATGGTATTGCAAGTAATTCATTCAATACATTATTTTTCTTCTTGTGCACAATTATATTTTCTCATAATAATTATGTCATATTTGTATTACTGTTTTCTTAGTTTTTTATAATTACATATTGTTGGTTGATTCCCTAAACTTCCCACCAATCTTCTAAATACACCTTAAAAAGTAATTTATTGTTATTATAAAGGTGATGTACAGAGGCGTTACAGTTACATAAATCAGGTAAAGGGTGTATTTCTTTTTAGACAATGTCAGCCCTTCCCTTGTTCTCTCCCAGTTTTTTCTCTTCCATTCCCCACCCACAAGTTGCTTAGTTTATTTTCCACATGGTGTCTGGTGAGTATCATTGCTGCATTTATTCATCCTTTGTCCCTCATTTCTGTTTTCCCCTTTCCTCTCTCAAAGACATATAAACAAACAAGACAAAAGAAAACAAAACAGCAACCAAGAAAAGAATTATCTAAATATCATTTAAAAAAATTCAACCTGCGAGGTATTCAACGTGCTTTAGTTTCATTTTCTTGGAGAAATTCTCCTAGAGGTTTCTCAGGAACCTCTTCCACTCGTCTCAGAAGTTAATTACCTGAGTTTTTTTTTGTTTTTTTGAAAAAATAGTAGCACATCTGATTAACAAAAGTGTGACATGAGAGAGCTCAATGCTTTTCGAGGAGGAAGAATTGAGTTTAATTAAAGGCTTTTCTGCTTATTAGAGTTATAATGTTGAACAAGAAATTCAATTACACTTTTGTTTTCTTGTCTGTCAGTGACAAATAACAGAATATGCAAAATAATTAAGTTAAACAAGATGATGAATAAAATCACTTCACTTACAATGTGCAGAATTAAGGAGCAGAATTATACATGAACTAAAACTGAGTTATATAGGTAGTAATTTTCACCCTTTCTTATACTTGGTACCCAATAAAATATTTGTGCAGTTCAGGAATGTCTTTACTTAATAAAATATTCAGAAAACAGTAAGGCATATAGGTATTTAATAAATGCTTCATGAATCTTAAAACAGGCAAAACATCAAAATTATCTTGTGCTCAAATATTCCTTTCTCATCCTTTTACTTTCCGTACTGTAACAGAAGAGTATATTAATTTTTTAACTATGGATATATATATATATATTTATATATTTACTTATTTTGCCGGTCCTGGAGTTGAACTTAGGGCCTGGGCACTGTCCCTGAGCTTCTTTTGCTCAAGACTAGCTCTCTAGCTCTTGAGCCACAGCGCCACTTCCAGCTTTTTCTGAGTAGTTTATTGGAGATAAGAGTCTTAAGGAGTTTTCTGCTGCGGTTGGCTTCAAACCATGATCCTCAGATCTCAGCCTCCTGAGTATTTAGGATTATAGGCATTAGCCAACAGCATTTGGCTGTGAGGTTTTTTTTGTTTTGTTTTGTTTGTTTTTGTCAGTTGTGGGGCCTGAATTCTGTGCCTGGGCACTGTCCCTCAGCTCTTCAGATTAAGGCTAGCACACTACCACTTGAGCCACAGCATCACTTCTGGCTTTTTCTGCTTATGTGGTGATGAGGAATCGAATGCAGGGCCTCATGCAGGCAAGACAAGCACTCTACCACTGAGCCACCTTCCCAGCCCTAGCTGTAAGATTTAAAGAAATAAAGTTTTGCCTCATTAGTTCTTTTCTAGAACTTAGGCATCCTTTTAATTAGATTCCTTAGTTCCTACCATTTTCTATGCAGCAGGCAGAGTGTGGTTTAAAGACATACAGACACACAGACACACAGACACACAGACACACACACACACACACACACACACCATACTAAAACAATGGTTTCCCATTTTTCCTGGGAAAACTCGTCAGAAGAAACCAAATTCTTGGAAGACTCCAGTCTCATCTCCAACCCTATTTTTCTTCCACTCATCCTCCCTTCTCTTAGGGTTCTGCCAGATTGGTTTCTACCATCATTGGAATTGTCCAAACTGTAGACTTTATACTTGTTTTGCTCTCTGGAATATCTAACTGTACTTACAAGTCTTAAAAAGCACCTCTCCTGGGAACTCAAGTATGACTTCAGAAACCAGGCAACATCCTCACTGGTCTCTTGCTAAGAATCTAGTATCTCTCCTTTGTAACTCTTATTGCAACTGAATTTAAGTAACTAATGTACTTACTTAAAACTTTACTTCTACTCCTAAGTGCAAGCTCTGTGACAGCAGAGACATGGTCTGTTTTCCTTTTTCTGTTTGCTCATTGCTTTGTGTTTTTTCCCCTGGTTAGCCACAATGCTTTACATAAGTACATATCTGTTGAAAATGCATTAATTAATGATATTATTGAAATAAAACAGATGGCATTTTAAAATATAACTTTAGGAGCTCCTCCTCCTTTTTGTTCCTCTTCCTCCTCCTTTTCTTCTTTCTCTTCCCACTCCTCCTCCACCTCCTCCTTCTCCTCCTCTCAGATTCCCAGGGCAGATGTCAGGAAAGGTGCATAAGAACTGAGCAGTTTATTTACTCACTGGGATCCAAGAAGGAACTTAAGTTCACATAGCACAAGAAGATTAATGAAGAGCAGTCTAGCAGAAATTATGACCCTTTCATATCATAGGTTTTTAGGAAAATGAAAGCCTTTGGGGCATACAGTAGATGCAATTGTCTTACTTGGAATTATTAGAAACATACTGTCACCAGGTAGCAATGTCAGCTGTAAGCTTACAAATGGGTATTGGTGGTACACCAAATATTAATATTTTCTTTAATGTTATTCTTTGTCATATTTTAATCAAAGTAATTATCTAGAAATTTCATTTAATCCTCACGTAAGCTATATAAGTAGCATTCTAATTTTTGTTCAGATGAGAAAATCAAGGTATAGACATATTAAGTTTCCTAAAGTATATAGCCAATTCAACTTAGAATCTGAATTTTAGTCCCCATATAGTACTTATTCCAAAGAATTCTGGAAGGCTAATACATAAATATTATTACTCATGTATACCTTGAAATCAATGAGCTTTTTTCCATTTTCTTATTTAAATAAAAAAACAAAAGAGCAATAAGACTGGCTTTGTAGACTTTTACTTAATGTAAACATTGAAAATAGAGTTTAGCACATAACCACCCTTGTCAAGGAAATATGAACTCTGTCTGGACAAAGTTAAGGATGAAATGCACTGTATTTCATTAGGGTCATGTCACTGTATGCCAGTATGGCTTCAATCTTGTGATCCTTTTGTGTCAGCCTCCTGAATGCTGGAATTGTAAGCTACCTATAACATAGATCTTAAGATCCAATGCAAGTAAAACAACTGTAGTCAGAACACAATTTTTTTACCTACTGAAAATTTTATTCTTTTTTAAACCCATTCATCTCTTTTAATAGCACATATTAATCATCCAGACGGGTTTCGTTGTGACATCTCCATACATATGCATAATGTACTTTAAACAGATTTATTCTCTTTTATCACCTCTCCATTTAAAACAAATTTAATGGGTTTGTTGTATGAAAATTTTTATTTATAAAGAGATTCTAAAAACAAGTAATTGGATTTGAGTTTTATTAAATTCACAAAGTGACTCTTTTTAAAACTTTTTTTGTGGTGCCAAAGATCAAACCCAGTGCCTTGTGCAGACTAAGCAAGTTCTCTAGTACACCTCTATTTCAAGTACATTAAATTAAAAAAAATTTGTCTGTTTATTAACATACTACCATCACCTCCCTTAAGTACTATTTCTCTAATTAGTCCTTAAGTAATTTATAAATATGTCATTTGTAATATCAATGTAGGGGCTAAAAGAATGTTTCAAGTAGTGTTTGCCTAGCAAATATAAGGCCTTGAGTTCAATTCCCAGTACTGCTAAATAAAAAAAATATTTTTCTCTCAATTATTATTGTCATTATTAAAGTGTTATACAACGGGGTTACCATTTTATGTCAGGTAATAAATACATTTCTTTTTTTAGACAATGTCACCCCTTCCTTTGCTTTTCCCCAGTTCCTGCAAATATTTTGAGGTGATGTCAGGAATGACAACATATGCTCTGATTTCTTACCTGCACCTTTTCTTGACAGAAAAATCTGTGATTGCTCAACCAATATTTGTTTTTGAAAAGGTGGAACAAACTTTTAAGGTAAGAATGAATTCCCTTTTCTTTGACTTTATTCTGACCAAGAAAATTCTATTTCAAGAAGCTAGCTAGTGATTCCAAAACATTTCTTCTGTATAGATTTATCCTTTGGTTTTAAGTAACTGAACAGTGCTGCTGGGAACTCCTGTAGGTGAGATATGTAGACAGCAGTTTGGTTGAAATGGGATGATATAGATAACACACTGATTTTTACTAAAACAATATGCTTATGTGGACTGATCTGAAAAAGGGGAAGAAACTGCAAGAGATTAAGGAGGCTGGTTTCTCATGAGTTCACTTCCCCCCCCCACCCCCATGACCTGATCTAGATAGAAGTGAATCTAAAATAAACTCTAGACAGCAATGTTTGTTCGAATGGGACTGATAGACATTACATTTTGTGAGCATCATCCTGAGACCACTTGCTGTGAAAGACAGTAAGATGACTAGCATTGTTACTTTAACTTATTGTTATTCCTTGGTATTTATTCTTATTATACAGCTCTTTTACCTGTAGAATAAGATAATCCTGATAATCCACAAAGAAGCCAAAAGAAATACTAAACCTCCAAGCATTTTTTTTTAAAAGCAGATTCTTACAACAGATCAACCACTTGAGAGTCTTTAGAGTGGGTGCCTCAAAACTCTGTTTTTTAGACATCTTCCTATAAATGATTCTGTAGTCCTTGAAATATAAAATGGTTGAGCAAAACTTGACTTTCCGTGGATTACATCCCCAGTGAGTTGCTTTGTGCAGTTGGGATAAACAGTCTTAGCTTCTAAGAATTCCTTTAAACAGTGGCAGGCTGGAACTCTGATGCAATCAAATACTCAGCTCTCACTGGCTGCTTTGTGTCCTTTCAGAGACCCGCAGAAGACATTCTGCATGAAGTGACAGAACGTGGTAATGATTCACAATCTGTATTGCAAAATCAATCTTTACACAAAGAAAACAAGCAGGTGCCAGCATTTTGGCATGCACATAGACTGTAAAAGGATGTTTTCCTTTTTTCTTAATTAAAAAATATGTGTAAATGGGCATTTGTTTTGAAAGATGACAAGTAGATCACTGAGAACACTGATGAGAGTAATTACAAGTCTGTGATTCACCACTGCCTGTCCTTAGCCTTCCCCGAAATTCTCCGTAGAACCTCAGGCTGCATGTACAATTTCTGCTGAGGTTTCTCCTTTCTACTTATTTGATACTAATATGATATGCTGATAGGTTTATAATTGTGAGTAGATTTAAAACTGGGCTTTATGAATTAACATAGTATCAAATGATGTCCTATGTTTGTCCTTCTATATAATGGCCTGAGGACAAGCATAACAAATAACCCTTTCTATTAAATTTCTTGTAGAATGCAATGGTTTCTCAAGAAAGCGTGTAAGGTCTTCATCTTTTACTGTGTATACTGTAGATTCTCAATCTCAAGGAGGTAAGTGTAGACTATGATTATTCTGAATATAAAATTTCTAAGATGCCTTCGAAGTAGCTTTTTAAAAATTAACCATCTATTCATTAAATGGTGCCTATATTTGAAGAGGAACTGTGTCATACACTGAATCTTGAGCCCATCAGTAACTTAATTTCCTGCCACTTACATCAAAGCACTCCAGTGATTTCCTTCTTATTGGGTCATGTTGACTTTGGGCCTTGTAATTTGGCAGTTTATATATGCATCTGCCTCTTCTACTATGAGCTTACTGACGTCATCTTCTAGACTGAAAGAGTGTTTTATACATGGTCTGCACTCAAAAAAAGTATTTGCTTAATTAGATGGAAAGGGAATTAATTTCTAATCCTTCACCAGTGTTATTCTTTTTTAAAACTTTATTTTATTTGATAAAAGTACAAAGGTTTTTCTAAGTTGTTGAGCTAAAAGCTTTCCCCAAACAGCAAAAATCCCTACCAAAACAAAACCTTAATAACTGGAGTTTGCAATCTGCTTTTAGTATCAACCTTGTCTCAGAAGCGCCTGAGATCCTCATCCTTCACTGACCTTCCAACCTTCCCACCTTCCGGGCCAGGTAACAAAGAACACTCATATTAACCATCAGCTTTCCTTCTCAGCTAGTCTAAAAGAATAGTATTTTAGCAACAAAACAAATACAGGCCTTAGCAAAATATACAAGAATCGTATTGTGTGACTTGTATGAATACTAATTTCACAAATTCACTTACATGAATATTTATTTTTGGTAGAAAATTTGACTTGGATGGTTTAGTTTTTAGGGCTTCATGTTGATGATAGCATTACCTAAGAGCAGCCTTATAAAATAAAAGCAACTTCCAGAATTATCCACAACCCTAGAGTACTCCAAACATTGAGAGTCATATTCTAATGTTCTGAATGTCCGTCCATGAGAGATTTTCAATAATTAAAACATTACTTCTCTTTACCTAAAATTTTAAATGCCTTGCTGAGTAAGACTACTGTATCATAAAATAATTTGAAATGATTTGTGCTTTCTCTACATTAAAGTGGTGGTTTCTATTCTTGTGTATTTTTAGTTCTAGTGAAGACAAACTCCCTTTTCCAAGTTTAGTTTGCCGCTAAAGTAATTTTTAAAAATATAAAGCATTTGCTTTTTTTTAACTGGTCCCTCTGTAAATAGGAATTAAAGAGTTTTCAAATGAATAAATCAATATTCTCATTAATAACTGAGCATCTTTAAGCCACAGAAACCAACAGAACCCTTTTAAACCCAGCTGACATATTACAGACATTAAGAGAAATGGCCTAATGCCAAAGGCAAAGGGTTCTGTCCTACTACACTGTACATAAAGCAAAGCAATAGCTTTTAATGTTATATATGTATACATATATGTATGTATATTTATAACACTATTTCAATTCACTTTAATTCATTTTTAAAAAATCAAACACACACCAAGAAAGGACACTGGTATCAGTATCCATTCTATTTTATGTTGTACAGAATGTTAATGGTGTTGAAAATGAAAATAAAAGTACAGTTGGCACGGTCCATTCATTGTTGATTTTCAAAAATAAAGACAGTAATCACTAAATTTGAGTTGAGAAGCAACTTTTTAGGTAATGCTACTTTGCAGGATATTTTGAAAAAGTAATTCTTATTCTCATATCATCTCTATTATTCAAGTAAGAGACTCCCAACCTTTGAAATGTATAGAAATTCTACACTTGTAGCAACTGCCAGTCTTACACCATCAGTGTATTTATAGAAAATATCCTGGCACAGTGGGCATATTTACTTCTCCCGTCAGATATGCTAATGAAAGCCTGGGGATTGAGGGCAGACTTTACTGACAGCTTTAGAACATCATGTAAGTTATACATTAGAGCACACACAGGCTTTGTTCAGATTTTATGATCTGTAGAATTTTTCACAGGAAACTATGCCATGACTGCAAAGAAGACTGCCTTTTCTGTTAGTGGCCTACTTCTCGTTTAGATTTCTGAGAATATGTAGCAAAACCCATTTGGCAAGCCCATGTTGAGCAGAACCAATCCTCTAATGAGCATGGAGTACTACAGTTAGTGGCAATAGTGACATCTACTGGTGCATTCTGAACAGGACTTTAAAAACCCCAACAGTGTAGAAATTAACATAAGACTTAAATTTTATAAAATATATTTTATCTTACAGTGAGAAAAAACAATGTCTTCATGACATCAACTCTTGTGCAAAGGAATGTTGGTATAAGGAATGCAGAACAAGGTGGGTACTTGGTATTTCAAGAATCACAGCGCACTTACATTTAACCAGGTAGATTTTCAATATGCATATATATATATATGGGAGAGCATATGTAGAGGTAGAACAGAATGACAAAACATGAAGCATAAAAATATTTGGCAAGCGGGGGAGGAAGGGAAGGGATGGGCAGGGGAAACAAAGGAGGAGGCTACAATGCTTGATAAGAAATGTACTCATTATCTTGCCCATGTAATTGTAACCCCTCTGTACAGTATTTTCACAATAAAAAATATATATATTTGGCAAGACTGGGCACTGGTGGCTCATACCTGTAATCCTAGCTCCTCAGGAGGCTGAGATCTGAGAATTGCAGTTCAAAGCCAGCCCTGGGCAGGAAAGTCTGTGAGACTCTTAATCTCCAATTAACCACAAGAAAACTGGAAGTGACAGTGTCGCTCAAGTGGTAGAGTGCTTACCTTGAGCTGAAGAGCTGAGGGATACTGCCCAGGCCCTGAGTTTAAGCCCCATGACTGACAAAAATGAATGAATGAATGAATGAATAAATAAATAAATAAATAAATGGCAAGTTAGATCCTAATGACAATAGGAATATTTATTAGGCTACAGGTAGGCAGGAAATGAGTAGAAAACGTTTTTTTTTTTTTTCACCAGCTATTTGGCTTTGATTAGTCTCTCGTTTACTTATGCTGTGAGAACATAGAAAATAAGTCAATTGCAAAATAGGGTGAAAGGAGTATTTCATTAAAATACATAGATCTTTTAATTCTATTTTTAAGGTCCTGTGAAACATCCCGAACCTGTTCTAAGGCCTGCTATATTGCAGCCACCTCCAGCTCAAAGCTGTGAGAAGATACAACAAATATTTGAGCATAATGTGTTAGAATCTGGCAAAATTAAAGGAAAAGCAAAACAAAACACAAAGGTAAGAAACCCCTGTATGATAGGTTTCTGTAGGTTATTTGAGGCTGCCCACATCTAGTAATAGAGGTGACTTGAAGCTTGTTTTGTTGCAGAAGATGTAGCCAGGCTTGAGGGACATCTAAAATACACAACAAAGGCTCTTGGTGATTTGATTAAACTTGTCCTCTTAAACTTGTTCCCTAATACAAATCTTATGCTTGCTCCTGATGGGAAAGCTCTGTATCCAGCAGAGGAAATCTCTAGGTCATATTCCAGCACACTGACCCCCATACTGAATCTAATGTGGCTGTGAAGCAGGTGCAGGCTGGGATTAGTAATCAAAAAAGGGATGGAATTTCAGTGTCCCCAGCTAATTAACATCATGGGGCTTTGCTAAGTTTAGGTCACACCAGGGATCCACTCCAGACCCATGTTCATGGATAGCAGAAACAAGGAATTCTCCATTCAGTGTACTTGGAAAGGCTGAGCAGCTTCCTGAGACAGATAAGAATATTCTTCCAACTATTTAAGTGTCTGAGTCAGTCACTAGAAGCTTTGCTTGAGAGATGCTCATTTTGCTCAGGTTATACAGATATGGACTGTGGGTTATTCTTTGGCTAGAGATGTAGGCATAGAAAAATGGGACAAAGGTAAGTAGGTGGAATTTGATACCATTAGCCATTTATTTCCAACTTTACTACTAAGGTTGGTAACTTGGGTTTGTGCTGTTTTGTATGCCCCTTGATAGAAGGCCAGAAACAGGAAGTGAAAAACATAGCAGCCAGCATGACTCAGTGGGGAAAAAACCATAATGGAACCAATCCTGCCTCAGTTACTACTTCCCGTTTATCCAAAAAAACACCCAACATTTTCTTTAGTAGTGAGAGGTAAATTTGGTCAGCATGGGGCTGGGAATGTGGCTTAGTGGTAATGTGCTTGCCTAGCATGCATGAGGCTCTGGGTTTGAGTCCTCAGTACCACATAAGAAAAAAAGATTCGTCAGCATTTGCCAATGTATTAATGCTTCCAGGTCATTTTCTTTGTAAGATATGGTTTGTGGAAGCTGTTATGAATTCTGAAACTAATTCCACCAATTATGCATGGCCACTGAAAAAATATGGTTCAAAGTAAAACATGCTTTTAATTTTTGTTTAATTTTAAAAGTTACCATTAAATTACAATGTAGTAATCATCAGTATGTTACATGAATTATTTTATCTATTTAGACATTTTGAAGTGTATGTTATTCAATTTGTCTTTGATAGGTAAGAAGTATAACTAGTTAACTAATTTCTTTTTTAAAATATTGTTATTATGCTTAAGTAATTGCACAAAGGAGTTGCATTCAACAAAGCAGTGAGTGGATATGGTGCAGCCCAATGCACCCTTCACTACTCTCACCTGTCCTTCCCAAACTACGCCTCCCTTCACTTTTCTTCATTTTGTGGGATGCACATTGAATTTGGTACTGATTCTCCCTCTTTTCTCTTCATTTGTCTACACCCCCTTCCTCCTCCTCCTCCTCCTCCTCTTTTCCTCCTCCTCCCCTCCTCCTCCTCCTCCTCTTCCTCCTCCTGTTCCTCCTCCTCTCCTCCTCCTCCTTCTTCTATTTTTTTTGGGGGGGTGAACTATGACTTCAACTTTTAAGGAATTACAATTTGCATTCTCCCCTGAATCTACTATATTTCAATTAATGCATTTGTGTACACTTCCATGCCATTCAAAGTATTTACTTATATATTTATAGTTACAGTGTCCACATATGAGAGAAAAAATGTAACCTTTGTCTTTCTAGGCCTGACTTTCCTCACTTAACATAAATTTTTTCTGGGCCCTTCCATTTCTTTGCGAATGATATAATATCAGTCTTTCTGATGGATGAGTAGAATTTCATTGTATATATATATATATATATATATACCATATTTTCTTGATCCATTTATCCATTGAAGGGTACCTAGGCTGATTAATGGCTATGGTGAACAGTGCTGTATAGCTAACTGATTTCTAAATATTATATGGTATATGGTATTAGGTTTGGGAACAATATGTACTCAAAGGATAGATGAATCTCTTGATTATATATCATGACATGAAAAGCAGGTCAATACTTTTTTTGATGTGATCTTTATAAATCATTGTATTGTATTTGAAAAACAAAATTTATTTATTATCATATTTTCTACATAAACTATAGAACAAAGAAGATAATTTCAAGCTCTAGTCTGCAAATATTTCTTCTTAAGTACTTTGTAACATTTCTTCTTGAGTAATTTATAAGAGTAGATATTTTCCCCAGTTACTAAAAGTCCAATTAGATATGCCTGGCTGTTACTGAATTTTCTGTTTTGTGATGTTTAAAGACAAAATATCTACAAAATATCATGTAAAAGTTTTGAATAAATAAATGAAATGTAGAAATCTGATAAAAATTATCTGTAGGAAAACTTTAGAATAATTTCATATTTCTTATCAGCTTGGATATGAAAAATCAGAAAAATTGCTGTTCATTTCTATGTATAAATAATATATGTCTAAAACTATTTTAAGCAACATAAAAGTAAAAACTACTATTGATAGTGGGTATTCTGACTGGAGTGAGATGGAATTGGAATCTCAAGGCTGTTTAGATTTTCATTCCCATTATGGCCAGGGAAGTGGAGTACTTCTCTAAGAATGTATTGATCTTTTTCTTAAACTTTTTCTGAGAGTTGTCTATTCATTCCTTTACCTATTTATAAATTGGGTTATTGATTTTCAGGGGTTTGGTTTTTTGAACTCCTTATATATTGGTTATTAGGTCCTTGTCAGATGTATAGCTGGCAAAGATCTCCCAGAGATTTCTGAATATTGTGAAGAAGTGTTCAGTCTCTATAGTCAGACAGATATGTGTTCAACTTCATCTCCATTTGTTATACGTGACATGGACAAGCAATTTAAGCTCTTGAGCTTCTTCATCTCTGAAACATAGATAGTAGAAATATGGAGTATGTAGAGTTGGTGTGAGGAGGAAATATTACAATGTACTTAGAGGGCTCAGGGCAATACTTTAACACAGTAAGCTTTCAATGTATTTATCTGTAACGATTTCCTAATCAGGTACTCCTATAGTAAGAGAGTTCTAATGAACCTTATAATGAATATAATTTTCTTTCAGAACTCTGAAGAGGACTCAAGTTTATTAAGTAAAAATTTACCAAGTGCCAGAATTTCAGTCCAGTTGTCTACTGGCCAGCATTTTTTAGGTACAACCTCAGTAAGGTAAGTTCATACAGACTATCTATATTCTATTCATATAGAATATCTGTTATTGGAAAATTTTGAGGCTAGAGCAGCTTAACTTATGTAGTTTTTCAGATTTTGGAATATTTTAATATATATAACATGTCTTGGAGATGAGAACCAAGCCTAAGCACAAAATTCATCTGTATTGTGTGTGTGACACACACACTCCAAAGGCAATTTAATACAATATTTTAAATAACTGTTCTTTTTTACTTGGACCCATCACATGAAATCGTAAATCTTCTACTTGTAATGTCAGTGCTCAAAATCTCCATATTTTAGAGAATTTGAGATTTCATATTTTGGGGATTAGGGACACTCAATGTTATGAGCTGACAAAAGTGTCTTCCTTTCATTTTGTCTTTATCATCCCAACCATTCACACTGTGTGAATCAATTGCCAAAATTCCTATTTCAGAGGACATTTTATAAGAACAAAAGCTTAAAGTGCTTTTCAAAAATCCTTGTTATTTTTTTATTTTAATTAATTAATTTATTTATTGCCATTCCTGGGACTTGAACCCTGGGGCCTGGGTGCTGTCCCTGAGCTCCAGTGTCACCTCTGGCTTTTCTATGACTAACTGGACATAAGAGTCTCACAGATTTTCCTGCCTGGGCTGGCTTTGAGCCATGATCCTCAGATCTCAGCCTCCTGAGGTGCTAGGATTACAGGCATGCACTACCACCAGCTGGCCCCCTGTTGCTCAAATAGTTTGTGTGTGTGTGTGTGTGTGTGTGTGTGTGTGTGTGTGTGTGTGTGTGTGTGCTTGAGAGAGAGAGTAGTAAGGGTGAACTCAGAGCCTTGTGCTTGCTAAGAAGGTGTTCCACAGTTTCAGGTATTTCTCCAGTCCTTTTCTTATGGTTATTTTTATATCCTGGATTTGCTTTTTGGCTCAGTTGGGCCTGAACTATGATACTCTGAATTCATTTGTACAGTAGCCCAAATAATAGGTACATACTACTTTTTCTGTTGAGATAGAATCTTATGATCTTTTGTCCTGGGCTTGTCTGGAACACAGTCTTCCTAATTTCAGCCTTTTGTGTAGCTAGGGTAATAGATGTGCACCATCATACACTGTTGGTCAAAATGGGGACTTGTGAAAGTTTTTGTTCAGGTTGATATTGAATGATAATCCTCACAATCTCTGCTTCCTGGGTAGCTAAGATTTCATGCATAAGCCATGGTTCCTGGCTGATTAAATTTTTATTTATTAAGAATTAATTATCCGGTTATTAGTTTTTCCCCTTTCATTGACATTTCCCTTTCTTTCTAATTAATGTTGGTATTGTCTGTTATTTGTTGGCATAATTTGTATAGAGAAAAAGGAAAATTAAACATTGATATTTCTTAGCACTGCTGGCAACAAACTAAATCTTTCTGTGGACAAATTGACTCACCTGAATATGTGTATTGCTATATAGTATCATTTGCTTACTCTGCACAGTGGGGAATCAACGGGGACTCCTGAACACACGGGGACTCCTGAACACATTGGCCTACAAAGATGCTCTTGAGGGTTTTTTTTCCATGCAAAAAACCTTTAACATATAAAATCCTGGAAGGAGAAAAGTAAGAATGCTTGCTCAAGTAAAACTGACAAGAAAAATAGATTTTGCTTTTGCTCTGAAGGTCTCTGATTGCTTAAAAGAAATAGCAACACTGGCCACTTGGGGCAGAGAAGAGCGATGAGTAGAGATGGGAGAGGCTGTGGTGGAAAAGGAAATCCCAGGGTCGCCCTTGTGACTGAGCACAGAACCAGCAGTGATGGGGCACAAGATCTCTGGGATGAGCTAATGCCAATATTGCAACAGTTGGAAAATACTTTGAATATCACGTTTGGTTTCCTTCATCTCTCAATAATTTCAGATAAACAAGTGCTAGCAGATGTTTATATCTTACATAAGCTATTGGAACATTGTTTATCTACTATCATTTAAAATGACTTTATACATTCAAAATAGCAAATGCGTAATTCTTTTTCTTAGATGTCAACTGAATGAAGATACGTCTTCTTTTAAGAGCTGCAGGTCTGACTTCGTTTTTGGAGAAAATATGGTAGAAAGGGTTTTGGTAAGATTTTGGTAATAGTTTTTATGCTTGTAGAAAGGACAATCACTTTATATTTATGGAAACGAATTAAAAAGCTGAGTTAAATTGGAACATACTTTTTATCTCCTAGTTTCAAAGGTACATTTTCTTTCTTTTCTTTTTTTTTTTTGGATCTGGTTGTGGGGCCCGGGCACTGTCCCTTAGCTCTTCAGCTTAAGGCTAGCACTCCACTACTTGAGCCACAACGCCACTTCTGGCCTTTTTCTTTTTGCTTATGTGGTGCTGAGGAATCGAACCCAGGGCCTCATGCATGCAAGGCAAGCACACTACCACTGAGCCACCTTCCCAGCCCCTATATTTTCTTTCTTTACCTGGAAATATTCTTGTGGGAAGCCAATCTTAGTTGTTAGACTAATAGATGGGAACCCATGAAGAGAGGAAAATACATAATTATAATATTATTCCTGATATAAAATATTAAATAATCCTTTGATTTGTGTTAAACAAGAGGTACCTAAGGAAAATCAAAATTATCTGTTTTACATAAGCTCAGCTGCTAATGTCAGAATCCCTATGGGTGAGGGTAAGGATAAAATGGTTCCAAAGCAAGATTTGAAAACAATTAAAGACACAGTACCCTAGAGAGACTTCTAATTCATAAGGAGAGACTGAGATAACTGTTCAAATGAGCTGTAGTCTTGGTCAGAGAGGTTTGGTCTGAGATAGCTAGCTTGTGCATATTTCCAAAGGGCAATTAAAATGTGGCTGATAAAAAGACTTGAGCTTCCTATCTCTTTCAGTTAGCAATCTCTATGGATGGTAGACATAACAGAGATTACTTGTATTTTTCCTCTTGTAATCTTGTGGCCTTGTAATCTGAGAGCCAATGTGCATTCTTGGATTTGTGGTCGACCGTGAACTTTTAGAGTGAGTCATTAAACCTTCTGAGCCTGAGTTTTTATTTTTTTTAATGTGAAAACAATTATGCCAATCCCTACAAGTTTTCAGGAAATATGTTGATGTTCAAATGGTGTGAAAGAATTTTGAATTTAAAAGAAGAATGATAGGAACATGAAGTTTTAAGTATCAGTGCTCGAATCCCTATACATGGTCATAAATGGCATGGCAGTTTGTCTTTCTTCATAGAGGCTTTGATGATATAAGGTATATAGTAGGTAGCCTTAAAAGTAATTACTGGTAAAAATTTCCTTGGGAAAAACTAGGATCTTTTTATAAATATGTTCTTGAAGATGTGACATCTAGTGGGGGGAGGGGGCGTCTTTGGACACCTTAAAGCCGAGATGATAATTTGACTTTGTAGACAACAGGCTAGTCTAGTGGGAAAGTGAAATCTCTATATCTTCTGTGCCACTAGAACTTTTCACACTGTTCCTGGGACTAGACTCTCTCTGAAGTAAACTGGCAGTAAGAAGATTATGTTTTTGAGATGAGAATAAAAGACTTCTAGCAATCATGTTTAGTACAAAAGGAGCCCCTAACAAGAACACAGCATCTGGATTTGTGTGCTATGTTATAAAAGAACAAAAGTATCTTATGGATCACTACAAATATACCTAGGGATGACATTAAATAATGTATGTTTTCCTCACTTAGGGTACTCAGAAACTCACCCAGCCTCAACTTGAAAGTGACTCAAATACCAAGGGAAAAACATTCAAATCCATTGTGAACTTTTCTATCAACTCCCCCAATTCAAGTAAGAATTATTTCATTTGTACATTTAATTTAGTTACTTGCGACTCTTGTTTGTCATGCCACTTATTTGATATCTGTAAAACTAAAAAAGATAATTCTAAAACCCAGTGGGCATATTTTGGTTAAGATTTAAACATATTTGCTATTATAAGCTTTAGACTTTTGACTTGTTAATGCTTTGGGAAGTTGATAAGGAAATTTGACCCAAATTCAAGTAATTTTATTGTTAATAGATAAGGATATGTGTGTTAATAATGCAAAAAAAGAACTTCCACATTAGAGAATGAGGCCTTTGATGTGTTTACCTCCGTTTGCTTTTAGGAAAAGATTCTATAAAAAATACATCCCTAATTGAATCCGCTGCTGCTTTTTCTTCCCGACTATCACAAAAATACTTGCCGGAAAAAGTTAATGTTATAACTGGAGAAGAAGCAGAACATAATGTGTTAAAGGTTTGTACATCATTTCTGGTCATATATACAAGGAATAAAATTACCATCATCAGGGACATCAGAAAATAATGCTTTTGTGAAGACTACCTTGCTTCAATAAAAATGTTGGCTACTCCCAAAGTTCAAACCAACATTTTGTTATTTTCTTGTGTGTGTGTGTGTGTGTGTGTGTGTGTGTGTGTGTGTGTGTGTGTGTGTGTGTACACCAAGGTTCCTGGATATACATTCTTCAACATTAGATCCTGTCTGTTTTATTCTTTTTCTTTTTTGTCTTTTTTCCAATTTTTGTTTTTCATGGTTTTTCTTTTTTTTCCCTCCTCTTCTCTCTTCCTTTTTTCCTTCCTCCCTTCTTTTCTCTCTTCTTTACTTTCTTTCTATTTCTTTCTTTTTTTATAAGGCAGGGTCTCAACTATGTGGCCTAGGCTGCCCTCAAACTCTTAGTCCCCTGTCTCAGTCTCCCAAGTACTGAGATTACTAGGATCCCATCTTCAGACCAATATATTTTCCATGAATGCTTTTATAGTCAGTGCTGTTCTTTTCATTCTTAAGGTTTTAAAATGTTCATGTCTTAATTTCTGTGTAAGACAGATTCATTCTCTCTAGCCATAAAAAATGCAAATCAAAACAACATTGAGATACCACCTCACCCCAGTTAGAATGGCTATAATCAAGAACTCTAATAACAACAGATGCTGGAGGGGGTGTGGACAGAAGAGAACCTACTGCATTGTTGGTGGGAATGTAAACTTGTTCATTTCCTTTTTAAAATAATTTAAAAAATTTTAATGCATAAATCAAGAACTTCATGGATCTACTCCATAGTACCACAGCTGAGAGATAAGCGCATCAGGTCCTATACATTTATCATGTTTCTGTAAGGTGGGAATTGCACTTGCCCATTTCCCCATCTGCATTTCTGTCCAATGCTCTCAATTTCGCCTCATTTCCTCTAAGATCTAAGGATGCTTTTATTCTAAATAAGTGTGTATAATCTTTGGATTAGATCAACTTCAGTGATTCTTACATGTAGGAGTATTTGAGAGCCACTGATCTTTGCTAGATGCAAGAGAGGGCTCTGGGGCCTCATTTCACAGTTCTCCAAGTTTTTGTGTTGTCATTGCAAATTTTAAAGTAAGCAAATAATTCCTGAATCCTTTATTTTTAAATACCATTATACATCTCAAATAGTACGAAGCTTAATGCAAAAGTTGGTGAATATAGAGATATAGTAAGTGGAAAAAAACCCAGCATGTTTGCATGGTATTGCACTATTTTAGAAAAGAAAAGGAGTACATGCTGGTATTGGCATGCATATGCCTACAAATGTCTCTGGGAGAATAAACAAAATATAATGATGCAGTTATCTGTTATTGCAGGTAGAACTTGACAAGTGGGAAACAAGTCCTGAGGAACCTGTCTACATTATATATAAATATATACATATACATTATATACATATACACAAATATACATCTGTGTGTATACACATTATATACATTATATACACATACAATGTACATATATACATATAATGTATGTATATATACATATATATGTTTTGAAATTTGAGCTACTCAGACTCTACTTCTGAAAGTTAAATTTCCCTATAGCTCATTCTGATAAATGAGCAGATACTAGATCAGATATTAGAACACAGGAAATAGTTGATTTTGAAAAAATTATGTATGTTTGACATTAAAAAATTATCATTTAGATCAACTGCAAGATTTTTATATTCAACAAAACAACACAATCGTGGACGGAAAGGGGCAGAGGAACCCTGAGGCTGAATGACGCAGCAAGCAGCGACTGTGAAACGTTGCAGTCAAGACTGAGTAAGGAATCCTTTTGCAAAGCCAGGCATGATTTGTCAGGGTTAAACCTGAAGCAGTACATACACTTACACACACTTGAAGTTGGGTTATAAGACACACCAAGAGATATGATTGCTAACATACACTAGGAAGTGTCCCATTTCAAGGTAGTCTACTCATTAGGCTGCATGGGTTCCAGTTCTGAATTCTGCAAGCAGGAGGACAATCAGAAACTGGAGTTAGTCTCACTTAAAGATTTCACTGTTTGGCATCCAAAAAGATGCTGGGCTTTCTTTGTTCAGGGGACCAAATTGAGACTGAGCCTGGGTAGAGAGGTGGGTGTGGGGCTGGTTTTGCCATTCAGTTTTGAGTTTCTTTGGAGGAGAGTACAGGTAGAAGTCTCTCTCTTTCATTTCCTTTTTTTTTTTTTTTTGTCGGTTGTGGCTCCTGAATTCTGGGCCTGGATGCTGTCCCTAGCTCTTCAGCTCAAGGTGAGCACTCTACCACTTGAGCCACAGCGCCACTTCTGGCTTTTTCTGCTTATGTGGTACTGAGGAATCGAACCTAGAGCCTCATGAAAGCAAGGCAAGAACTCTACCACTGAGCCACCTTCCCAGGCCCAGAAGTGTAGAATCTTAAGTGCATGAGCATTTGTCAAGAGTAAGCTCAAGAAATGAGAATTGAGTATATGCAGACCAAAAGTACAGGAACAATATTTTCAGTTATATAACTGACAATTAGATGTCTAAGTATTACCAAGGCAGTACAAGTCACTCTCTACTCTGGGTTTAACTCCACTGCCTGCCAAAATCTGAAAACAAGACAAAACAAAACAAAAAAGCAAATTAAAACTCCTGAACAGTTTTTCTTGTTATGTAGACAATATATTTTCATTGTAGAAATCAGAAAATATAGGTGGTTGGAAAGGAGAAATAGAAGGATTTAAAGGGCTATCATCCTGAGACAGTGTCTGTTAACAGAATGATTCTGTTGGACTTTGTTCTCTGCACATACATGTGTATACATGAGCCACAAGCTTATGATTCACAATGTTACATTGCATTGGAATCTGACATTTTCATTTACTTTGTATACCATGAGCATGGCTCCATACCAATGTATCTTTCTTTCTTCTTTTTTTTTCCCCTTTGGTGTATACTGGGATTTGCACTTGCTAAGAAGACACTTTACTGCTTAAGTTATGCTCCTAACTCTTTTTGCTCTGGTAATTTTTGAGCTATGGCCTTGTTTTTCACAGGCCTGGACTGTGACTCCCCTATTATGCTTTCTACTGTAGCTGAGATGAGAAACACATAACATCATGCTTAGCATTTTTTTTTCTGTTGAGATGGGATCTCATAAACATTTCTTGATGTTTGGCTTCAAACTGTGATCGTCTTTATCTCTAGCTCCTAAATAGCTAGAATTACATGTGTAAGCTACTGTGCCTGGCCTTCTTCAATATTCTTAATGTGTTCATAATAATCTCTTGAGAGCTCTACTTTATTTGATTCTATTTTTTGGATTTACTTCTGTTTTTGCCCCTGTAAGCAATTCTTAGATAGATATTTTTCAAGCCACTAGAGCTTAAAAGGAGGTTGGAAATATTGAGAACTATTATAAAAATCTAATTTTAGTATTTAAACTGAACAAAACTCTGCTTTATAAAGCCCAAATACAATTTGAAAAACAAGTTTTATTTTAGTCTAAATATACTTAATAATGAAAATCTAGTCTAGAAAACAACTACAAGATTTACTTTGCTGTTAGAACTAGGAAATCGTTATTTTTGCAGGCAAAGGAATCAGGAGTTGTAATCTAACACGTTTGCTTTTCTACTATAGTTATGCGCAATCAAGGCAGTCTGAGGCTAATCCTCAATAGCAAACTCTGGGCACAAATGAAGATTCAAAGAGCAAACCACAGAAATTTGCAAATAACAGCTACAGATTTAGAAGACTATAACATCAAAGTATTTTTAATTCAAGTAAGTGAAAAACTGCGGTGATGCAAGATTATCTTACAAATGTACTAATAGAGCTCTACAATTCCTAGTTGGTTTTTATTTTCTTATCATAATCTGCACCATTGGCAAAGGAATTAGTCACTGACTTTGAATGCTTATCCTCTAAGACCTAAATATATATGGAATTCTGAAATCAATACCAAAGTCTAGAGCAGTCATTTCTTATCCATGCCATCTACCCTTTTCTTTACTATTGAAATTCTATTAACGACCTTACTAAGTTATCCGAGTGCCTATATTGTCAGGAATAAAATCTAGGAAGAAGCTTGATGCTAACACTGCAGACTGAGACAGAGAAGGCTTTCGGACCACTAGAAAACAATCAGCAAGGAATGGAAAAACCCAGAGCTAGCAACTTCTAACAACTGGTCCAACAGCAAATTCCAATTCTGAGCATGAATATATCTCCAAGGTAACAGGATGGGAGCACAGTTTAGCTGTTCCCAGCAGCAGGCATGCTTGACCTCAAATACAAGATCCCAACGCAAGACAGCTGCCAAGAACAGAGCTACCCTCCTGTAAAAGCTGGGTTTTCCCCATGGGCTGAGACCCAGAAGACTGGAGACGCCTGAGTACCCAAATGATTCAGGCAGAAGGTACCAACACAAGTAAATAGGCATCCACAAAGTAATGGAGAAAGCTGATTGTTGGTGTGTGGCCAGTCATAAAAAACAAACAACAAAAACCCCACAAATACTTTATTATATAAAAGTAAGTATATTGCCAAGTGTGACCCTGTCTATCACTAAAATGTCCCCCTCAGGTATGGTTACTTTCGACATATTCGTCTTATATTATATAAATTGAATGTCCTTAATTTAAAAATTTGAAAAAGCAAAGTGCTCCAAACTTCAAAACTTTGTGAGCCTCAACAGGTCACCATAAGTGGAAAAATTTACACCTGCCCTTATGTGACAAATCACAGACAAAATACAGGCATAAATCTAAATAAAGGCAAAAATACGACATTATTTTCAGGCTATATATGGAAGGCATAGATGAAATATAAATGAATTTTATGTTTAGATACAGATTCCATACCCAAAAGATACTTCGTTGTATATATGGGAATATTCCAAAATTGGACAACATGTAAATTTTTGTACATTTGTGGCATATTGCATTTATAAGCTTCAGGAAAGTTACCTGGACTTTTTTAAAACTGATTTACACATGTGCAAAAAAGACGGTGATGATAACACAGGCTTCAAGTTTTCAGTTAAGATTAAGTAGCTACAATGATTATCAAACACTTAATATGAATGAGTGGTTTTATGCCATCAAAGTACTTATTCCTCAAAAATTCTTTTAATAGATGAATAGTTCTATTTTATTTTGCATTATAATTTAATGAATCTTATTGACTTGAAGGGCAAAATTCTGGATTCACATACTAGCAATTTGCTGAGTAGCTGTAACTCACAGACAAGTCATTTTTACCCTTCTTTCCGTTTTTCTTTTTCTTTCTTTCTCTCTCTCTTTCTTTCCTTCCCTCCTTCCTTTCTCTGTCTCTTTCCCCTTCCTTCCTTCCTTCCTTCTTTCCTCCCTCCCTCCTTTCCTCCCTTCCTCCCTTCCTTTCTTTCTTCCTCTCTTTTTCTCTTTCTCCCTCCCTCCCTCCCTTTCTCCCTTCTTTCCTTCTTGCCTTCCTGCCTTCCTGCTTGCCTGCCTGCCTTTCTCTTTCTTTCTTTCTTTCTTTTTCCTTCCTTCCTTCCTTCCTTCTTTCCTTCCCTCCCTCCTTCCTTCCTTTCTTTTTCTTCTTTCCTAGACTTTGAACTCAAGGTTTCTTGGTAGATAGCTGCTCTACAACTTAGGCAATACACACAGCTCTTAGTTGCTTTATTTTTCAGATAGGGTTTATGATTTTTGCCCAGGTTCAGCTTTGGATCGAGATCCCATATTTATGCTTCTTGAATAGTTGGGATTTCAGGCATGAGTCTCTATATCCATCTTATTCGATTAAGTCTTGCTAATTTTTGGTTTAGGCTGGCTTCAAACTGCACTGGATCACTCCTTCCTAAGTAGCTGGGATTACAGCTGTGGACCAATGCATTGAGCTTCCTTTTCCTTTTTTAGCCATAATTTTCTCATTTATAAAGGGAAGAAAAAAATGAGTCTATGTTGAATACCTGTGTTATCTGCTTTTGCTAATATAAATGAATAATTATATCACAGCATTGTTGTAAAGATAGAATAAAATATAACATTTAATGTCATGCCAATTTTGGTTATTTCTACCATCACTTTTATATTAATAGCAATCACAAAAATGGCAAAGAAAAGTATTGTAAAGCACAAACATTTTATGTGTTAATGGTAAATCTCATAGATTGCTTTAATGAAGTTTGCTATGAGTCTTGGAGAAATGTCTAAGCAAAGTGATGAAAAGGAAATTGAGGAAGTTTTCCCTCCAATCTTCCAATTGTCTATAGGGTAAAACAGTAGAGGAAGAAAGGTCTTAATGCTAAAATTACTTAAAGTCAAATAAATATATTAAATATAAAATTTACTTTCTCAACTTAAATGCACACATTGAGGCATCTTCCAATTTATCCACTATAGGATGGAGTTTATTCCAAAAATTAATTAATTAGTAAGGCTGTTAGCACTTATAATTATGTTGTATTGTACAATTATGTACAATTGTATACTATGCTATATAACTCTTTCCTTATTAATAGTGGTAGACTGAAAATCTGTAAAATGTGGCTGGGCTGTAGCTCAGTGGTAAAGTGCTTGCTCAGCAAGTGCAATGTCCTGGATTCGCTCCCCAGTACCCCCCTCCCCAAAAATCTGTAAAATGTGGCTAGTGCATATAAGTGATTTATATTCTTAATAATCTAACTTGCCTCATGAAGGCCAGTGCCAAAGATACAGGATGTCTGTACGCAGCAATACATCATCGTCTGGTTGCCCTTCGAAGCTTCCATAAGCACAAGGATGTCAATCAAGCTGATAGCCCATCAGAAACAGATCTCCAACAGTTCAACCAAGAGAGTTGTGATGAGGAAGAAGACGATTTCATTCAAGTTACTAAAAGCGAATCAGGTAATTTTTTTTTTTTTTGGTTAGGTCAGGAGTTTAAAAAAGAAACCTTGAGCACAATTTCAATACATTAAAATTATTTTAAAAAATGAAAACTGATCTCTTTCCAGTGTGTTATGGTTAGAACCCAAAAGTTTGGCTTTTTAGCGTGGACTGGAATCACTGGTCTTCATTAGGATTTTACCAGCTCAACCTCATTGTGGTGCCTATTTAACATTAGCCTATATACTACAAAGAAGACTACAGTAACAATGTAAAGTATTACGTTGCTACCCTGAAACTAACCATTTATTTATACTTCTTTCACTTGTTCTCATTCTTTTATTGGCTATGAAAAGAACTGGACATAGATAATGGAATCTCTAGGCATATTTGGCTTGAAATTTTGACAATTTTGCTTATTTCCCTTTTGGAATTTGGCTACTTATTGAGATAATTAGATTGCATTAATTCTGCCTTTCAGGGCAGAAAAAAATCACTATTGGTTATTGTTACCATCATTTTCATGTTTTATATTTTATTTTTATTGTGGCAGAATTTACAAATCAATTGTTTGAAACAGAGTCAGTAGCAAATTGATTTTTTTAGGATTCAGTTCTTGTCCTGATGTATGGATTTGAATGTAATATTCATCATTAATTTTGGAAAAAAAGAAACACTGTCAAAGAGCTAGTAAGCTCATCTTTGTTATACAGATGTTGCTATTCTAATGTTATCCAAGTATTTTCAGTAGTAATTTCTCATAGTCCTGAATTATGTTCTACAGAGGACTCAGTAACACAAAAAATGTGGTGTAGTGATATGTTTTTCAAGTTTTAATCATTCTGTGTGTGTGTGTGTGTGTATGTGTGTTGGATCCATGGCTTGAACTCAGGGTCTTAGCTCTCATTTGGTTTTTTTCCTCATGGCTTGTAATCAAGCTTTTTACTTTTAATTGGAGATGGAGTCTTGATATTTCTACCCAGGCTGGCTTTGAACCATATTCCTCCAGGTCTCAGCCTCCTGAATAACTAGGATTACAGATGTGTAATGTACAGATGCCTAGCTATTATTTTAAAATCTTAATAATACATAATTTAAGAATTTATAAAGAACATGTATAAAACTGGATGAAATGGCTAGTGCTATGGCTCATGTGGCAGGGAATCTGATCAAGTGAGTTCTCAACACCTATAGAAGAAAGAACTGCATGAAATGTGGCCTGTTCTGCAATATATGCAAATGTATTCTGCAGCATATGTAGAAACAACCATTAGTATGGTTGATTCAGTGAGCTAGAGAACTAAGGAAGTATGATTGTTTTGCTACCTTTAACAAATCTATTCAGAAAATGGTTTCTTGTCTCTGAAACATATACAATAAAAAATAAAATTGTCTTTTATACTATGCTTATATTTTCAACAATAAAGTAGAGTCTATCAGAAAATGAATTGTTACTCATTAAAAATATCAGTATGGTATAGGAATTAAATGTAAAAATACTCTTAGCAACCAATGAGACATGTTTTTGAAATTTATATTCTGTTCTATTCTGTTGTTGGAAATGGACATGGATTGATATGCAGCAATCTTAATGTAAAGCAAAGGAGTTGATACAAAGCAAAGTCCAATCATATGACTTCTTCCCCTGCAATTTACCCTTTTCAAGATAGTATCTTATTCCATTTGCAAGCAAATGCCATCATATTATGGGAGCTATAAAAGTCTAATTGTTTGGACTTTGTTGTCCATGAACTAAGGAATGTTTTAATTATCTGAAAATATCATATTTAAAGCAATTAGCAGTATTTGCATATACATTCAATATCTTTCATTTTCTTGCCAGTAAGCCAATCACGTTCCATTGTATCTGATATTAAATCTCCTCTAAATATATTATTCTGTAACAAAGTATTTTAAATTTATGTCACAGATCCTTCTAGATGGACCCACAGACAGTCAGTTGCCTGTTTATGAATACTGCCTACGATACACATGTCAATGTCTGCACAAAGATTGGTTACCCTACAGAAATGTCAATCCATCCTAATTGAGAAGATCCTGTTCATTCCTTGAAGAGGTTTTAGAGGAAAGCTTAAGGAATATAATTTGTTGCAATAAAAATTTTCTCTTACGTGCTACATCTTGATTATGACAGAATTTAAAAAATGGACCTCAGAAGTTCAAAATGCATCATTTCTTGAAAAAATAAAAACTTCAGACTAGGATTTTATAACTAATGTGAATTTCATCACATTGATGGATGTAATACTTAAAATTATAAATTTCTGGATTTGATAAATAACCAAATAAAATATTTTTGTCATACATTGGGCAAAACAAGTAATTTAGTTAATATTCAGTCATTTGTTTAAACTTAAATTGCATGACTTCATTAAATCATGTTCATCGTCTGAGAAATTTATATATATTCACTTAGCCTTTTGAATACTATTAAATGTACTTACATATTCAAGTGTGAATGCCTTTACAAAAGTATCTGCTCTTGGATTTGTATCCATTGCATTGTATATATTCATGACTGCTGGTTAATACATAAAAGCTGTTGAATGAATAGACAAATATGGCATTATGTATGAAAAATTAAGTATACAAAAGCCAAATATGTTTTTCCTTTGCTTTATGTAATTAATTTGTCATTAATATTCTAGTAGGTGTGGTTATGGAAGGACCTTTTGAAAATAAGTTTATCATATATTGCCAAAAGAGTCTTTTTCTTAAATTCCATTACTGTGATATGCACAGTAAATTTTACAGCAGAATTTTGATGCTCTTTTTTGAGATCTGCTTCAGAGATACTTTATGAATTATGTGAAAATTTAGCCTCCATACTTATGAACAAATTTCACTTTCAATCTGATCAATCACCCTATTGCTTCAAAATGACATTTTTTTTGGTCATGAAGCTTGAACTCTGGGCCTGGGCGCTGTCTCTGAACTCTTTAGCTCAAGGCAAGTACTCTACCGCTTGAGCTACAGCACCACTTTCAGTTTTCTGGTGGTTGATTGGAGATAAGAGTCTCACAGGCTTTCCTGCCTGGCCTGGATTTGAATCACAATCCTTATATCTCAGCTTCCTCATATCTCAGTAGCTAGGATTATAGGCATGAGCCACCATCACCTGGCCAAAAGTGCTTTTTGTTGAATCTCTAAGATTTCACAAATTAGGAGATAGAGATTCACTATTCCAAAATGATTTCTGAAAAATTCTTGTACAATGGCAACTTAGTTGGAATCAGGGTAATCACTTCACAAAGTGGTACTTTGAAGAAAATATTCATTTGGAAGCTTACATATGAATATGTATTTTAAAAGATACATTCTTTTATTATATTTACTAGTAATAAAAGCAAGTATATACATTCATTTATTAAGTTAACCATTACCTAATATCTGAAATTCTTATTTAGAATATGAAATTAAATTAATTCTTTTAAACTATGACTTAGTTAATATGTGTATTGTTTAAAGTTTTGCTTCTCCATATAAGTGAATAGTTAAAATTTACTATAAGTTAGCTACTTAGGAAGGTCTAATCATTCTTCCACAAAAATCATAGAGTGCATAAAAATCCTTTGCTTATATATTAAAAATTCTAGCTCAGAAAATGAGGATAGAAGAAAAGTTAATGTGAGAGAAGAAGAAAGAAATAACAGAGAGAAAAGGAAAAAAGCTTTATCATGAGGAGGAAGATACAAATAATTTTTACCCTAAACTGAAAGTCTTCTTTCTCCTTTTCTCTCTCTTCTCAACCCATGCCTCTTGTCAAAGGAGTGATCCTGATGAAGTCTATCTCAGTGGAAAATTTTCACTAGAAACAACACAGACAGGGAGAAATTTGAAGAAGATACGATAATACTGGTTTTCTTATGAGATCTTAGCAGTGTGGGAAGGCTGTGAATGTACTGTAATTGTTTATGTGACACAGAGGACAGGGATCTTGATCTTCCTGACATATCCATTCTTGTCCTCATTCTTGTCCATTGGGTAAAAATAAGCATTTAAAAAAATCGAAGTTGAATTAATTCTAAGACTTTCTTTGGCATTATTTATCAAAGGATAAAATATATTATCTAATTTATGATCTATGTAGAAATGCCTATGAGAACAAATTTAAATAGGGTTAGAATATCAGGAAGGCAGTAAAAATGTCTAGATTTTGGAGAATATTCTTTCAATCATTATTCTTTCAATCATTTTGATAATTGAAAGGTTTTATGGTTTTTCATTGTATGTCTTCATCTAGCCTTCCTTTTGGTTTTTTTTATGTCCTTTGTCTCATTTCCTTCTCTTTCATCTGAACATATTTCATATGTTCTCTTTCATGAGAAGAGATCAATTGTACAATTACATTCATTTTCATAAGTTACTGAATTATGTGATCTCAAACCCTGTATTTTAGATTTTCATAGAAGTTTCTTTAAATTAATGTTTACTTAATAATTCCCCAAATATATTAGATGCATACCTATAGTATACCTAATTAAATATTCCTAATAATACCATACTAACATAACCTGCAGCTCTTCTTTTTCAACAGAATTTTACTCTTATTTTATTTAACTTAACTATGGACTATTAAAACATTTTCTCTTAAATTTTTTTGTATCTGTTATTAGTAAAGCAGTAGGATTCTTTTGTTCCCAGGAGAAAATATAACATACAAACCTTAGAATATGTGAATGTCATTTAAAAAAAAAGGTAGAGGGCATGGGTTTAGAAATCTTGAAGAATGCATTTTCAGGCCTCTGTAAATCTTCAAATTGTGAATATTATAGTGTCATACACAATTTCCAATAAAACGCTGAGAACAATTAAGTTTGCTTTAGATGTAGTGATCATAATAGCTAATTCACTAGCAAATGTACTAGCTTCACAATAGATAAAGTGAGGAATTCAAAAACATTACTTTTTACATTTAGTTGAGAATTTAAGTACATGAAGGCCAGAAATGATTTTACTTATATTTTCTTCCTTCCTTTTTTTTCCTTCCCTTCTTTTTATTTCTTTCCTTTTCTTTCTTTCTTTGCTTGCTTTCCTTTTTTTTATGCAATGGTCAAGTTCTACCTACAATACTACCACACAGATTAACTTTTGACATCAGACTTTGAACACTGAAATACATGAACATGTTTTAAATTTCTAAGATGATGTATGCAAATTGTGCTACTGGAGGAACTCATGAACTGACTGTTCAATCTTTAATCTACTAGATGAGATAATTTTCTAGCAAGTACATTACTAAAATTTCTTAATTTCTACCCATCTAGTGGACATAAAATATTATTTTATTATGACCTTTATTTTGTTTTTCTGATGTTCAAGAAGGTTGAGTATGGACTGGGAAGGTGGCTCAGTGGTAGAGTGCTTGCCTTGCATGCATGAGGCCCTGGGTTCCTCAGCACCACATAAGCAGAAAAAGCCGGAAGTGGTACTGTGGCTCAAGTGGTAGAGCATTAGCCTTGAGCTGAAGAGCTGAGGGACAGTGCCCAGGCCCAGAGTTCAGGCCTCATGACTAGCAAAAAAAAAAAAAGGTTGAGTATCTTTTCAGATACTTACTTACTGTTTTCTTTTAAGAAATTTCTTTTCATGATTCTGCAAAGATAATTGTACCATTTTCTCCTTTTATTGATTCATAAAGGATAAAAGGCAGGTTCCTATATATGGACAAAGCAATTTCCATGGGATTTTTTCCCCTGTCTACCTTTTTTGTCTTACCTTTCATTACCTTTCTTATCTTTCATTGCTTACCTCTTCCTATATTCTCTAGGAATTCAGAATTGTTATTTTGTTGCCATTATGCTTTTGCTCATGATATTTTCTTCTGCATAAGTCCTTTTCCAGTTTTGGTGATATTGATTACAAAGCTGACTCTTAGTTTAGGACATTTGTAGAAAGCTTCTTAACTCTTCTGAGGCTGAATTAAGGCCTCGAAGTCCTTCAAAATCCTATAAAACCATATAGACATTAGGTTCCTCAAGGGCTAGAGAACTAATAAAAAGACTCACTTATCTCTAGCACCTGGCAGGGTGCCTGGCCCAAATACAACTTGATATTCACTGATGTGTTTGTTGTATGTGCAAAGATCAAGAGCCATTATCTGATAGGAAGCTAGAAATAAGAATTTTAAGCACAGGAGAAAGACAGGAGATAAAGCTGTTGGTTCCCTGAGTCATGAAAAGAGAAAGGGCTAATATTTTAGGCAATATTTAGATGAAGTGGGTGCAGAAAAGTTAAGCAACCGTTCAAGGTTCACAAAGCTAATCAATTCTAAAGCTGGGATTTGAATCAAGGTCTTTCTAATTTCAAGGCCCAAGTTATTTTCATTACTCAACAGTGAAAGAGATCATGCAGAAGAGTGAGTGGAGGGAAGGTTGCAGCAAGTGAGTGAAAGACAGAAAAGACAGGAGTTAGATACTGCAGATAGGCTCAGAAAGAACTCAAAATAGCGGCGAAGAGCTATAAACAACACTGTTAGGAATTGGTGTTCAGGAAAACACAGTAAAATTTTCAGAAAGGAAAGGTAGCAATTGCCAGTGATCAAGACAGATCAAATGGTTAAGAAATGTCTTCTAAGTTTCAATCAGATCATTCGATAACATTGGAAATAGAATTCAAGGTACACATGAGAAGACAACTTAATGAAGCAATTCTTGCAAGTAAGTGGAGGAGGGATCCAATGTAAGGGTCAGCAAAGGGATATCCCTTACAGATGGGGAGATACATATTGTAATATACATTGTGTCTTGCATTTGTAACTAGAAATCATAGAGAACCAAAAACTGTTATTATCTGTGAATTAGGCAGAGGCCTAAAATTTATATACACACCAAGGTAAGAGTTTTCTCTATTCATTTATTTTTCTGTCAAATGGGTCAACATTCTCCCAGTTATACTAGCTTCAAATCTGTGTCATTTGTAATGTCTTCTTTCCTAATACGTAATGAATCATGAAGTGTGACCCTTGGGAATGTCCAAGTTACCTCCCACAGGAGGGAGTGGTCAAGACCTAGTCAAAAGCAAAAAACAAAACAAAAAACACAACAAACAACAGATAAAACTGTATACCAACCTAATGCACCACCTGCCACACAGTAGATATTCAAAAGTACAGTGAATTAATGAATATATGATGGTGACGATTGCTAGATAAAAATGACAAGTTCGCTGAATCAACTGAGCTTAGTGGAACCTTGTTACCACTCTAGTTCGACCTTGTATTGCAGAGGAGGCATCTGAGCAAGATGAAGTAATCTGCCCGAAAGTCCAAAATCTGCTTACTAGTAATGCCAAGAGTGGGAAAAAGGAGATGCCTAGGCTAGAAACAGGAGGAATTAAACACTCGAATGTGCATTGCCATTTGATTTTTCTCCTCCTATTTTTTCCCCCCTTCTAATCGCATTACTCTTTTCTTGGCCCAGGTCCTTATCACTGTAATTATTTCATCAGCTTCCCACAATCTCCCTTTCTCTTCTTCCCTCCAGTCTACCAATATTCCAAAGCCAGATCAATAGTTGCCAAACACTGCCTGCAATACACCGCTTTCCGGACTGCCAATAGGATAAAGTCCAAAACACTGACACTATTAACTCTTTATTTGCCCTATCTAGTTTGCCAA